ACCGGAGCAACCCTGGTCAGCACACTTTCCGATCTGAACGGTGATGAGAAGTTCGAGGCGGCAAACCTTGGCCACGCTGAGGAGGTTTCGCAAGAGCGCATCTCCGACGACGAGTGCATTTTGGTCAAGGGCACCAAAGCCTTCTCCTCCGCATCCATCATCCTGCGAGGTGCGAACGACTACGCCCTGGACGAGATGGAGCGATCAGTACACGACTCATTATCAGCCGTGAAGCGAACTCTGGAGAGTGGCCGCATCGTCCCTGGTGGAGGTGCCGTTGAGACTGCGTTGCACATCTACCTGGAAGAGTGGGCGACGTCAGTGGTAAGTCACTCCAATCCTTGCATGTTTATCTACCTGACTAACGATCCACCTAGGGCTCTCGGGAACAGTTGGCGATTGCTGCTTTTGCGCAGTCTCTGCTTGCTATTCCTAAGACACTTGCCATCAACGCGGCCAAGGATGCCACCGAGCTCGTCGCCAACCTCCGATCACGGCACGCTCTTTCACAGCGTACAGTGAACCCTTCAGACCCTTCGTCGCAAGACGCAAAGCAGCTGGCCAAATCGAAGAACTACAAGAACTACGGTCTGGACCTGTCAAACGGTAAGGTGCACGACTGCCTAAAGGCCGGTGTACTGGAACCCAGCATGAGCAAGGTCAAGCAGTTGAAGTCAGCAGTGGAGGCGTGTGTTGCCATAATGCGTATCGATACCCTGATCAAGCTGGATCCTGAGGAGCAAGGTGGAGGTGGTGACGACGGTCATGGACATTAGATGTCCTACCGTCGAGGGGAGATAGACCCGACCGAAAAGATAACGACAGCGTAATGAAGGCCCCAAGCCCACGTTCAAGATGCTCCTCTGTTATCCATATCCTGTTCTAAGCCACCCTAAAAACCTTCAACCGAGATCTGCCTGCCGCGGCACTGACTCATTAAAGGTTTGGGGGCCAAATGTGACGCATCGTGTAGAGCTTTCGGACCGACTAGCACCTGTTCTCCAAAGCCATGTAGGCAACCAAACCTTACGGGCCTCGATTCGCACCAAAAGACTCCCAACGATACGATCGTGCACAAGCTCATTACTTGCAGCTGTCATTTGAGGGCATGAGAAGGCTTGTTAATTATTGCGCCTCAAACCCTACCTCGGCAGTTCACGGCCACGATGGGGATCTACATGAGACTCTGCCGTCCCGTACAACACATGGCTTACCGGTGAGACCATCTGGCGACCAAGACATTCGACGTGCCTGGTGTTCATATTAAAAAGGTAAAGCGCACGGTCATGATGGCTGCAAGCGGCCTGTTTACAACCTATCGCGGCGCTACACAAGCGAGGCGGATTGTTTCTTTCTTCTTCAGCTCGCTACCCCATGCTAGTTACACACCCGTTGTCCCTGCAGCGGTCACCATTGCGTCTAGCGTCAAGACGAACATCTTGTGGAAATTCTGAACAACTGTGCTTGAAATGATGCAGTAATGGAGAGAATGAGCAGGAAAAGCGTGGGTGTGGTGCAAGTATTGCGGCAATTCTGCCTGTACAACAAACACGTCCAACCGAACGCTTTCACAAAACCCAAATGCACGAAATCTCAGCTGATCAGCCTTCAATACGCTCTCCTCGTATGTGTAGCCGCAGCCGGCAAGCCCCAGCGGGTCGCTGCACGCCTTACGGCACAACAGCCTTCGCTTTGTACGTAGCCCAGCATATGAGTACTTAGCTTGTAGGGCCCTGCTCTTTCCGTAAGGGCGGTTTCTATTCCTCGTTCTGTACTTCCTCAGGTCTGGGACGCCATGGCATATACCAAGCTTTCATCGTTGCTGGTCGTTGTCGTTTCCGCAAAGTATGGGAGCACCGCCATGATACGGGCACCGACGCCTGCTGTCACGCCCGCCCCTGCGGCAACAGCTGTAGTACTGGCTGCTAGGGATGTTACTACCCTTGGATATATTTCCACGGGCATGTATGGCTCGCGTACACTTTGTAAGATTGATTACCTACATTGCTGCTCGACTAGTGCTAAGAAGTCTCAGATGATACCATCACTGCAAATAACGAGGGTCATGTCATGGCAACATCAGGTAGCCTCTATCAGATCTGTGCGCCAGAATCTCTTTGCGAGTTCTTTTCTTGTGAGAGCGATTACGTTGTGTTCCCGACCACATCAGCTTTCTGGTACGTTCTGGCTCCTATTCGCCTGGATGTCGTATACTGACATGACATCGCAGTGGAGGCTCAAATTTGACTTGCAGCTACTGGGAGCTGGCAACAGATATCAATGACCCTTCACCATTGACCAACTACTGGTGCGATGCTAAGACGGAAACGGGAGGAAAGATCTTGGTGACCACCCCTGACGACGGTATGCAGCCTCTCTCTAACCTTGATGAAGCATTGACTGACGACCCACTTGCAAGATACATCAACCTCCCCTAATACTGGCTCATCTTCAAATGCCCCGATCTCTCTGTCCTTCACTCCGCTCTCACGTACCGCTTCCAGTCGGCCCTCAGATGCACCACTTGACCTTACACCTTCCTCCGGTAACGAAGATTCCAACGATTCCAACGATTCCAACAACTCCAACAAATCCAAGAAGTCAACCCCAGTAGGCGCAATCGCCGGTGGAGTAATCGGCGGCGTCGCTCTTCTAGCCGCTGTAGTCCTCGGAGTCTTCTTCCTTCTTCGCCGCAAGAAGAAGCAACAGAACAACACCACCGTCAACAACAACATGCTACAGCCACCAACCGCACCCCAAGCCCCACCAGCCGGTGTTCAATACTACCACGAGCAGAAGCCCGTCCCTCAGCAACACATGCAACAAATGCCTTCTCCACCTCCTCAACACCAACAGCACTACGGTCAGTACGACCCGAACGCACAGCAACCAGCACAACACTTCTATGACCCCAATGCTCAGTCTGCGTATGCTGCGCAACAGGGTGGCTATGCGATGCCGGAGAAAATACCAGGTGCTGTGAATCCTGTGCAGGCGAACCCGCACTATTCGGACGGACCAGTGAGCCCTGTGCCGCAGTACTCCCCGGCTATGCCGTCGCCAGTTCCAGCCACCATTAATGAGTTGCCGAGTGGGAGGATGTGAGTACAGTAATATCGCATTCGGTCTTGGATAATGTGGCTATTGTCCTGGACAGCGGTTAATGTCTTTGTGCTGTCTTGCATAGTCTGATACTGCATGCCACACAGTGGATGGAGAGATGAATGTGCATTTGAAGTGCAGTACAACTCTAGGTACAACTCTAGTGTGGATGAATTATACCCCCTGTTAGATAACCCACCAAAATTTAAAACGTTCACGAGACATCCATTATTTTGCGGGTTCTGCGTTCGTCAGAACTCCCATCAAGGCTTCCCGCAATATCCTTTGTGAAATCCCCAAGCCAACTTCTGATGGTCCTTGCCGCAATAGTACGCCTCGCCGCATCCAGCACACTTAGATTTCGCGCCTGGTGCTCCGCAGTGACCACACCATTTCTCTGTCGCTCTATTCATCCATCTCTTTTTCGTCCTCATCGCCACTTCCCAAAGCCAATCGTCCACAGGTGTACCACTGATTGCCAGAGTGCGGTTGCTCTTGCTAGGATCTGTACCCTTAGCCAACATGCTGAAACGCAACGCGAATTCCTCTGGGGTGTCCAGAGCAAACAGTTGCTTTCCCTTTGGTCCAGGGCCGCGTCCTATATCGCCGAACTGCATGGACGAAAGATCGAAGAAGGATTGAACCGTGTCGCTATCGAGCGGAGAGAAACCTACGACGGCATGTAGAAGTTGTGGCTGGTGCCCACTGACAAACATGGCGCCCTGTGGGAGTACGCAGATAGCAGTGGTGAACTTTGGGTCACGGAATGACTCTTCGACAATGACACGTCTACTGACTGTTGTCGTATAAGACATGCCTGGCTGCTTACCATTGGGCGCATGCCGCACTCTCAACTTTGTGTCTTCCGAGAACAATGCAAAGAAGATCTGAAGCAGACTGATCGCCTGGTAGCAGCCATCGTGGTTGCGTGCTTGATGGAACAACGTCTCTAGTTGCTCATTGGAGAGTGCGCTATCCTGGCGTTTGTTCGCGGGCAGGAATTCCGTGGGCAGGTCCGGGGCATCTGGATCACTGGTCTGCTGCTGATCCAATACGATCCACGTAGACGCGTTGTTATTCCAGCCTTGGTCAATTGGACTGCTGAGTGCGACCGTCTTCGATTGTGTACCCGGGAAAGCGACTTCTCTCAACTTCGTGTGTCGGAGCCGAGGTTCCGTGGTGTTGCGTTCGTAATTGAGTAAGACCGCGATGTCATATAGATCCAGCACTTCGTCGGAGTTCATCATGGTTGCCGGGCGGGCGTTTTGCACTATCCTGCTTGCGTGGAATTGAGATGGCGGGGCGCATCATCCCGCTGGAAGCGCAACGTGCTAAGCAAGCATTTTCCTATTTTTGGCGTAGCGCGGAACGCGTGCCTCCGTGATGTCACTCGTCGCGTGTCTGGAAGTCGCGAACAGGAGACGGTATAGCAACTACCTTCATATCCCGAAGGCTGAATCTCTGGTATGTTTTCCAAGCGACTGTCATTGAGTTGCAGTCACTACATGAAAACTTTATAAGGTCTTGACACAGAAATGCGGGACCAAAGCAACAGAGCCCTGAAAATCTGAAAGGTGCTGAGATTCATTGGGGAGACTTCATTCTCTCTGGGTCGTGCCCATACATCATCCCCCTCGAGCGTTCATATTCATTCTAGACCCCGCTCAACGCGCATCATAATACAGGCTGTTCTTACCCCACCGACAACCATAATGGCCGCCTCACCACCGACAAGGAAAAAAGCCGAACAGGTCTGCAGACAAGCAAAACAAGCAAAACGGAAGATCTGGCGTCAAGGTAGACTCCAGAGTGTTAAGTTGTATCCTTGAACGAGGTGGCCTGAGGAATTCGTTAGTGTGCTGTCGACATGTCAAAATGCAGTATGAGCTTACTGGTATCTATGTAGCCAAGAAGCCATGAATAAGGTCTTGCATGTGGCTCGATAACGGTCGGGAAAGTCGAAGTTTGAGCCCCTTCCCTGCTGACAAGGTCCCGTCGTACTCGCCACGAAGCTTTCGCTCCTTGTATGTCTTAGAGGTTGCAAGTGTTTTGTCTGACAGTTTGTGGAGAGTCTGTCGACGGACCTTCAACTTTACAACCTTTCTTGCTACGGGCATCTTCAGGTTAAGACGCAGTTGCATACCAAAGCTCAACTTTGGAAGCTGGCCGAGCACTTCGGAAGTCTTGTTGTCTAGATGCTCACTGGACTGGTCGTACTCTTTGTCTGCGGAATCCTCGACGGCGTCTATGTCCGAGACCTCTGTGTAGTCTGCGTTCTCGTCTTCGCAACCTTGGTTGGAGAATTCGTCTTCCTGAGAACCGGCGATGTCCAGGACCCTCTTCACACGCATCTTGGAAACACCGTCGGACTCGTAAATAGTAAACTCAGACTGATTGCCAGTGACGAATGTGAGGTCTTTCACGAGGAGTTTTGTGGCGCCACCGTGGGCAAAGTCGAAGAATTCAGGTTGTTTACCGCAGTATAAGAAGACGAAAGCAATCATTGCTTTAATTTCGTGGGTATAGGGGCGCAACTGACCGCTCACTGTCATTTTTCCAAAGAACTGGTTTCCTTGGAATCGCTGACCGGCAGTGAGGCCTGCGTCCACTCCATTCGAGTGTTTGTAGTGTAGTCTGGGCTTCACCGAACTCTTCTGTGTAACGAAAATGCCATATATGCCGTTTTTTGTGTCGTGGGAGCCTATGCTCAGCATATGTTCGTTATGCGGGCCCCGCTGAAACACAAAACTCTCGGGTGAGGGCAGTTGAGCGATGATACCGGGGTGTTCCTCATCAAGCATGTCGAGCAGCTGCTTTCTGTCATAACGTGCGCAAAGAGGCATTTTTTTTTTCGGCTGCGATTGTTGTCAGTATCTTGTCGAATGAGAGGAAGAGCAGGCACGGCCTACCCGTATGGCGAAGTGTGTCTTTTGCCCTGGTGGAAGAATATGCGCTTCAACAGGCGTCAGTGCGGCTAGAGGAAGAAGTAAGAAGATAGCACTGGAAGAGAATAAGCGAGACAGCCTTTTATAAAAATTAGGCAACAACCTGATCTTAGGTGACGTAGACTCCAAATCACGTCGAGGTGAAAGAGTAGCCGTGCGTCACCCATTGGAGTAAATTGGGTGACCTGCCGACTTTTGGCCGCCACATACACCACAACATAGGAAAGTGAGGCATGTATAAGGTCTCCATGATAACTCACGGATGTCTAGCAAAAACGGCCAAGTATCGCGAAGAATGGATAGGCATTCTGTTGTCCGTTTACGCATTGTACACTAGGACCATGTGTCCTTGTGTTCACATATGACCACTGTTAGCGATGTGTTGGACGTATAGAACTTTGCGACTTATATCACGGTCCATGCTCCATCTCCTTGATCGACAGTCTCAACGATCGAGAAGAACATCGTGAGCAGAAACAGAGGTCTTATACCCATGAAATGAAACCAATAATCAAATGGTATATCTCCCAAAGCTAAAGTACATGATATCTCACACAACAAGCAAACTAAAGCCGCGCCATGTTCCCTCTCTTGCGCATGCTCTTTGCCTTCCCTTCAACAGCACCCACCTCATCACCATCCAACTCCTTTCTATCAAACACTGCATCCTCCCAAAGTTTCTCACCAACCAGATCCGCCAGGGCCAAAACCCTAGTCTGAACTGTCGCTCCATCACGCCGATTCTTGCCTTCTCTTCGCGAAGCACTAATCCGCTCAGCGAAGCGCCATAACGGGCCATCGGCGATGATGCCACCGTTCGAGCCTCTTTGCGGAGTCCACTCCTCTGCTAGTCTGATAGTAGCGGGCGTTTTGTCTTTCGACTTGGTAACGAGTATCATGCCTTCTTCTTGGAAGCGTGTGTACGCGTTCTTCAGTGTTTCCTTGTTGACAGCCTCGAAGTAGGAAAGGTCGCCTTGGTGGTAGAGAGTCTTGCCGAGGACTTGTGCGCGGTCTTGGACTTTCTTGAGGTCGAGCCATGAGGACGGAGATGTGGTGGTAGTAGTGGGTGATGTGAGGGGAGGGGTGAGCATCATCAGACTGATAGCACCGAGCCATGCAGCTTCGATGAAGGGCCAGATGAGGAAACAGTAGAAGTCGTAGTTTTCGCGTCCTTGGGTCCGTTCAGCAGGTGATAGTTCGATGAAATCCACGGTTTCTTCGCCGAGCTCGGTTTTTGATCGTGACATGGTGATGACACCGTCTTTTTCTAGTCCCTCGAGTGTTTTGGCGAGGTTATTATCTAAACCTTCGGTGGGGAAGATGAACTCTCCGCGGAAGAGTTGCGAGAGGAAGTGCACCTGCGCACGTAGATCGCCGTAAGACATGCGTTGATACTCCGGGCCACCACCCTGCTTTACATGTGTGTATAGTGCTGCGCTGACCAGACTTTGTAAGATGAAGAGATGAATGGTCATGTTTCTGTAGAAGGAGAGTTGGAACCTATCCACGGCGTAGAATGTGTCTTCTGGTAATCCGGGGACTAGACCAACAAGTCCGGGTCCTAGAACTTCTAAAGCGCGGTCGACGACAACGCCAGTGGGGAGATTGCCAAAGTGTGCTACGCGGCCACCTTGGGCTCTGACCCGGTCGCTGAGCCATTCGACTCGGCGGATGAGTTCTGATTTGCCTACACCACGGCCTCTTAATGTTAGTAAGACGGTACCAACGAGAGCGGTTGGCATCACGACTGAGACGTCGTTGATCTCTGACAAGACTTTGTAACCCAGTGTGCGGAGAAGGCGGAGTCGGTCTTCTTTAGTGTCGAGTTGCTGAGGAAGTTTAGAGAAGCGTTCGCGTTGCTGAGTGATGAAGGATTTGAGTGACCACGGCTCGTGGAAACGGACATCTACGCGGCCGAGTTTAAGAGAGAGGACGCTGGAAGCGGACAGGAAGTCCATGAGATTCTCTTTGGGTTTTGGTTGACCGAGGAGTTCGCTGATGTATGAGCTGCGACATGTTAGTGTTTGCTCTATTATGAAGCTGATTGGAAGACTCACTCAACCTCGATGACCTTGTCGTACTGCGTCGATACTGGGCAAATGATTGCATCCTCAACCCTGCCGCTCGCGATACTGTCGAGCATGTAACTCAGTATTCCGAACTTGGGCGGCAGAAGCTTGCCGGTACGACTCCTCCCTCCTTCTACGAAGCACTCCAAATTGTATCCACATTGCAACAGGGTATCGATGTAAGATTGTACAAGTGTAATGTACAGCTGATCGTCCCCGAAGCTCCTTCGTATCCACATAGCGCCGGCATGTTGTAGGAAGGACCCGACGACTGGAAAGTTCAGGTTATCTCCAGCCACGACTGTGGGCAAAGCAAGCCCGAGCCGGTAGCAGATGATTTGTAGCGAGACGTAGTCCACGTGCGAGCGGTGGCACGGAAGGAAGATGATGGAGTGCTTGTCTTTTGCTGCCTTCTCGGCGACAGCGCGCAGGCGTAGCACTTCCTCGCTCGAGACGTGGACGCCCTGGTGGTATGCTCTTGTCAAGAGTTGTGTAGCGAAATAGTATGCACCTCTTATGAAGCCCTTGCTTTCCATCTTGCAGATCATGGAATCAGTCCAGCCTTCGCTGACCTGCATAAGCGACTCCTCAATCTGCACCCTCCTCTTTGCCTTTTTGTCTTTCTCACCGACACCAACCCCATGCATCGCATCCTCACCCAGTAGCCCTTCTTTCGCCTCGACCTCTACCCTCTTGTCCGCCAGCTCTCGCACTTTAGCGACGAGCATTGGGTTGCTCAACACCCTCGCCTTCATATCCTCGCTGAAGCCCGGGTAGAACTCCGGCTGCCCAATGTGATCGTCGAAAGACCGCCATCCTGTCCCTGAAAAGTGTAGCGACACTTCGCGAATGAAGTCGAGCGGCGAGGATCGAAAGCGCGCGAAGCTGTGTATGAGGCCGCGGTCGGGCGATTCGTTGTAGCCAGCTGCGTGCAGGTAGACATTGTCGTCGGCCGTGATGCTGAGATCGGGGGCTTGTTCGGGGCTCGAGGGGCGCGCGGTGGAGGACTTCTGGTCCTCATCTGAGGAGGCCATGCTGATTGGAATGTGGCTGTGGGATATGCAAGGAGCGTTTCCTTATGCAAGGGGTGAGGCGGAAAGCGCGTGTCGCATGGGGAGGACGCGTTCGAGAAGCGATTTGGGGAGGTCGATTTTGTCGGATGTTTTATTCTCGTGTCAATCCACGTGGGCACTGGTATTACGACATGGTGAAGCAGGCATGAAGCGTCGCGACGATGGACGGTGAGATCGCAGGCCCACTTCCCCGGTCGCTATGCCTCGGCTTCTTGTGGAGAAGCCACGCCGGCGCAGCATCACCTCCGATTCGTTGTCCATCAGCACCACCGACTCTGACAATTGCTTGGTAGATTGCTATCAGCGTGCAAATTTATACTACAATACATCTTTTTATATACATGCGTCATCATGGGACAGTCGGCGTACTCCACATCCCACAACAAGGCCAGACAGCACCTCAAAACACTTCCCACAAACTGACTTTCCCGTCCTTAGCTCCTGCAGCGACCCAGTGTTTAAGCTTCGACTGCTCCTCACGGTCTCTTTGCCGCTTGTTGATAGCCCCATCTCCGCATCCTATCTCATCTTGTGAAAGAATCTCACCGAATGCAGTGGAGTAGACTCCTTCCTTGTGCCACTTGAGCACGGCAACTTCCTTGAGCGTCTTGGTGCTGTATATGCGGATCCGTGAGTCCCAACCACCGGTAATCAGAAGCCTGCCATCGGAGCGAACTCGGAGTGACTGTTGACCTGCGTGTTTGGTGTCTATTACTTTAAACGGCTGTTGTAAAGCTACCACTTTTTGCGCTGGCGGAGCAGGCTTGAACTTCGGTAGTGGCGTCGCGGACGAAAGCAATGAAGATAGACCGCTGGGTTTCGATGTCCTAGAGCTCGACTCTTGAACAGTTTGCTTTGTGAACAGACCCGAAGACACATCTGGGTCATGGTCTTCTTTGCCCGGAATGGATGGCAACTCGGGTATCTGATGCTTGGCTATTATAGCATCTGCCGAGGACGTGTAATAGAAGTCGCCCTCTGGCGAAGCGTCCAACGACAGAATTGGCTGAGAATGGGGTTGACTAAGGTATACAAGCTGGGCGGTCTCTACGCTCGTGTCGGGGTGTTCTTCAGCCAGCTTGAACGCTGCAGTAATCCCGCCTTCGTACCCTGCGAGCAGGAGAAGTCTCTGCGTGGCTCTATTACGAACAAATTTCACGGCCATGACCATGCCTGTTTCGACGGTTCGTATCTGTGGGATCCTGACCTTGAGTAGCTCACCAGGGAAGCTGTACACGTCGATGACCTTGTCGTCTGTTGACGGCACTGCCACAAAGATGGAATCATGCTCTGCGATGGAGGGAGGAGGATGCTGATAACCCATGGAGAAAGTGCAGAAATTGAGAGTGTTGACGGGAAGCGAATGAAGAAGCCACGGTTTGGGCGTATGCTCTCGGTTCCCATCTTCAGGCAATGTTGATGAAAGTTCCTCTGTCTCGTCTTCGAGTGCAAGTCGCCAGACTCTTATTCTGTTGTCTCGTCCATGTCTGTGTTCGCGGTCTGATGTTAGTAGAGCTCGACAGGCAGACGTGGGCTAGTCTCCAGGTGACTGGTGGTTTGCTACAGTGACACGCACGTTATGATCTTTGCATCTCCCCATTGGGCGAATCCTAGGATGGGGCCATCGTGTGCTGGCCAGACAGCAGTCGGTCGCTTGGTCTGAACATTCCAGAGGACGACCCAGCCATCTGCGTCGCCCGTCAACAAACGACTGTTCTGACGAACAAACAAAGTTGCGTGGATGTGCGAGGCATGGCCGCGGAGAATGGCAGTGGGCTGTGCTGGTGGGAGCGTGGCGGTTTGGCGCTCTAGGGCCATGGGCAAGCTGAGGTGTTAGTTTCGGGCAGGCCGGCACGAGAGACGATCGTCGAGAAGCGATGGTGGGGCCAGTGATGAGCGGTTGATTGTCGGGTATACAACGCGAACGACAGGTACATGCGCGCTTGAAACGGCTGCCTGCTGGGCGTTCCCTTTTAGACGAAGCTTGGTATTAGGGAGCTGAGTTCTGATCGATTGCTGCAGCAGAAGTACGAAACAGCCATGTTGACTGGTATGGGAAAGGAGGATTCGTTTCTTCTCAGCTTAGAAGTGCGTGTGGAGGCGTCGGCAGGTGTTCCAGGGTGGCAGGTGCTATGACAGTGCAAAGATTGCCGAGACGGACAGGGATCTATTCTGGGTCTTGAGCTTGTTCGCAAAACTCTACAAGATTAGACGAGTGAAGGTGCAGCCAGTCAGCATGCCATGGAGCGTCGAAGCTGCTTGGGCGCAATGCACCTACACAAGCCGGTTGGGCATCATCTAGATACCTGTGAGATGTGTGTTTCTCTTCAGTAGCGCTGGGGGTCGATGCCAAGATGCTGCCTGCGCCACGATGGGTAGCTCTTCGCACGAACTGCCACGAAGAAGCTAATGCGCTGGGCAATAGCGCTCGCTACAGCAATGATGCACAGCAATCGAGGGTCCGCGGGACGGGAAGAAGAGTTTCCATGCTACGTCGCCGAATGTCACGACGCATCCAAGCCGGCGCGCACATCATTACCGGGAGGGCGCGCGCATCATGGCGTCGCACCCCGGACTGGCGCATACCAAGGCCCAGACGTCTCCCCGAACGCGCATTTTGTCCTGCTCTGCCGTCTTTTATCGCGGGATCGTCGTGATACTCGTCCGCATGTCCAGTCTCTGACGACCGAAAACCCGGAAAGCGTCTTGTTTCAGCGTGCAGCTGTCAGCGTTACAGGCGCCTCGGTCCCCAAGGCCTCGCGTACACCTGCCCTTGCGACGCTCCCTGCCAGGACGTCCAGCATCTCCTATCGTTCGTCATAGCCTGCATGTACGCCAGCCCGCTCAGGTATAATCCAATATTCCACCCTTCCTCACGACTCGCTGCTGCTACTTGTTTGCTTCTGTCCCGCCAAAAGCACTCCTCACTCCCATGACTTTCCTCGCCCACCCCTCCACCTAGACTGCGCGCGTTCCTGCATATCATCCCCGACCGAACGCTGCACACGCCCTCTCGACGGCCAATTCACCAAGACCTCCTATCCCTGCGCCCTCTTCGACACTTTTGCATTCGCACCACGACCACCGATCCACGCCTTTGTGTTTCTTTCCACTATTATTCAAACACTGCAATTGCAGCCGCACTACTGCGAATCTTACGAATCTTACGTCGCTGCGTCCCGTCCCGTCGCAACCGAGCTGTCAGATCGCGGCGGTCCTCGACCAACCCCACATCTTCAACCGCGACTACTCGACGATTGACCACGAATTCGAAGTGGAGGGATCGACAGACTTGGCCCACTGCGCGCCCTGTTACGGGGTCGTGATCGCCCTGCAACGGCGAGCGACGGCGCAGCGCCTGTCCCCGAGCGAGCGTCAGCATGGCCAATACCGCTACACCACCCTCCAACAATGACTCGCCCACGAGCAAGCCATTACCCTCGAGAAAGAGAGCCAGCGATGCCACACCCGACGATAAGCCTAAGAGGACTCGGACCGGCTGCCTGACATGTAGAGAGCGCCATCTCAAGTGCGATGAAACCAAACCGACCTGCAACAACTGCCTCAAGTCCCAGCGCGAGTGCAATTGGGGCAAGAAGCTCAACTTCCTCGACACCACTTGCGAGAGGAATGCATACTTGATCCCCCAAGGTATCGATTACCAGATCGCTTTTATGGACGAGTCACGGACTATCGCTTCCGAATACGTGGGCGGGCGAGAAATGTATCCAGTAGAGGACATGGACGCACATGTTCACATGGGCAACAACGGCTTTGGCATGGGACCGCCAGCTTCGTCGCGCCAGCACATTCCTCCCATCCAGGGCATCGCACAGGAGTCGTACCAGCAAGCGCAACTCAACTACAACTTCGACCAACAGCGGTCCCAGCACCAACACGGGCGTTCAAGTAAGTCAACCGTCCATACCAGCTGTTCGTGCTGACTCTTTAGTATCGAGTTTCTCAAACGGCCCAACACCGTCCCCGTACACGATGGAGCATTCGGCCAGTCCCGGACCTCTCCCCACGCGCGACTACCTCAAGAGCCAAGAAGAGGTCTTATACATGCAGGTTTTCGTCGAGGAAATTGGCATCTGGATGGACAGCATGGACGCACACAAGCACTTCTCGCGTCTACTACCCTTCCATGCGCTTAACGAACCTATGCTGTTACACGCCTTCCTCGCATGCGGTGCACGACATCTCGCCCTTGTCAATCCCAAATATAGCGAGGAGAAAGCACTACACTACTACGATGTAGCCACACGCGACCTACTGCACTCTCTGCAGGACCCCGATCGCGATACCATTCTATGCGCTACCACTGCGGTAATACTCAACGTGTACGAAATCATGGGAGAGCGTGCGCTACAACGGATGAACCACATCGCGGGGGCTCGTGCTCTGATCAAAGAGTGCCGCTGGAACGCTAGGTCAACAGGCATCGGAGCCGCCTGTTTCTGGCTGAACGTCGGCATGGAGATACTGAGTTGTCTGCACTTCAACTGGCAGGTCGCTTGGGACCCCGACGAGTGGGGCATCGAGATGGACTTTACACCAGAGACTGAGTCAGGCAAGGAAGAAGTTTGGACCCATCGTATTCTCTATGTCGTGGCAAGGATATGCAATTTCCGTGCATCGATACCGCGCAACCAGGATGTCGCCAGGCAGACCTTGCAGGAACGGCACAACGAGTGGCTTCGACTGAAAGACATGACCGACAGGTGGAACGAGAACATACCACGCACCATGCACCCAATGGCATATCTGTACCCCGGACAAACAATATCCGGTTCAGCGTTCCCCGAAGTCTGGTTAATCAAGAGAGCATCGATAATAGCGCGGCTCTTCTATCATACATCCCTAGTCTTGCTCGCACAGATCAATCCGCTACAAGGCCCTAGCGAACCCGACATGTGGGCCATGCTCGAGCAAAATTCCAAGTTCATCTGCGGTATTAGTGCACACGTCAAAGACCGCGGGGTTGCCAGTGTAGCGCTACGGTCACTCGCCATCGCAGCTGAACCGCTCACAGACCGACGCGAGCAGGAAGAGGTCCTCCAGATCTTCGATAAGATCAGGCAAGAGACAGGTTGGCGTGTAGGCTTCGTCAATACAGAGCTGAAGCAGAAGTGGGGCTGGGATACGCCGCAAACCCAGGACCAGAAGCCACAGCAACAACCTCCGCCTCCGCCACCCCCACAACAGCAGCAGCAGATGAATGGCCACATGCAAGAGGGTAGTGTTGTGTATCAGCAACAGCCACAGGTCGTCGTTCAGCAGCAGATGCCGCAAGTCTCGGTTGCACCTGCCCCAGTACAGCGGCGGCCAACGGGCTTTGGTAACCCTCTGCTTGTAGCAGACTTTAGCATGCCACAGCATCCTTACCAGACGCACTACGTGCCTGCAAACATTGTTCAGCAGCAGCAACCGCAGACATTACTACAGCCGCCACTTACCGCGATGAACGGGTACGGCGGACAGCATTTCTTCTAAGCATTCTCAGCACGACCTTCTTTCTTCCAGGATTGTATTACTCGGCACCTTGTTCCACCACATTTCTATACACAAAAGGCAGGCGTTTGGACTTTCCGCATCTCTACCCGACATGGGATACTTCTCTAACGATGTCATGAGTAGCATATATGTGATCACTAATAGCAAGACCACAAGGGTGGCATTTGGAGACCAAATGGTATAAATGGGACTTTTGTAAATATATACCCTCTGTTTGAGCAGAATTTGGTGCAAACTGGCCGTCGGTATCTGGCCTTGTTTGCGTATACAATCAATCAGCCATTGAATACTCAATTTCTCCATCCCGTTATTAGATGGCGAGGAATCAGCTCGAACCCCAGGTTCACTCCCTTTCGCAACTGCCGTATGCATGCACATCTCACTCGCATATCGCTCGGATCATAACCACTAGTAGGAAACCCAATCTTCGCTTCGGCAAAGTTCCGTTTGGTGTGATGAAGTAGCTTGATCTGCTAGTCATTGTTAGGCCGCCCGTACCACCTGTCACTCAGCCCTAATACTAGCTGTATGCGCCATACCTGCTAGTAAGACTAATCTCGTCTTTTCTCTCTGTATTCGGTAAAAGGGCACTCACATATCAAAGTAGTGGACTATATACTCGATGCGAGGAGATGTGGGTGGGTTGCGGCCGTACAGTCAATCGTTCACATCGCATTACCCCTTTTCGAGGATACTGCATCACATCCAGTTTGGTGCAGGATCGCAGTAAGCTGCAGCCGACATTGCATCTCGAGCCGCCGGACGATCTGCCTGAATCCCTGGGATCCTTCGTGCGCGTACCCGTCATCTATCGCGCGAGCAAAGACCATGAGTAGTTCGTCGATCAGGTTCGCAACGACCGACACCACATCTCCACATACCAAACACGAACATGATTTTAGCAACGTCGCGACTCGCCTTACCCACCGCGCCCTCTTGCGATTTATTCAATTGGTCGAATTAGCAAAATGGTGGCGCTTTCCCCTGTGTTTAGCGAGTCAGGGTTGGAACCTGTGCCGCAATATGCGAGTTATACCCAAGCGCTCCAAGAAGGAACAAAGGAAATACGAACCAGGCATCCAGCCGCCAACCACGCCACAAAAGTGTCAGCTCATGTATTATCTTGGACTGTGGCGCTCCTTCAGCATGTCAGCTTTGCCTCGCATTCTCCCCTCTTGGGAGTCGTTTTCTTTCTTTTTCCACCATATCGTTCAAGATGCATCGCGCATTCCGGGATGAGAAAGGCCTGCATTATGCGCCGAGAAGACATCATTCTCCTGTTGGACTAACTCGAAGGCGCAGTCGCCGCACGGTGCTTCTCGTAATTGCAGTCTGCTTCCTTGTACTGTACAGATTCCTTCTGCCACAACATCACGGAATTGCCGTCCGTCCATCGGTCAACAATGATACATCAGCCTCCAGGATACCCCCCGCAAAGGAAACACCACAAGGTGCTGAGACACCAGTATGTCCGAATTCGCCAATCGCAGATGATATTTTAGTAGTTGTCCGAACAGGTGCAACGGAAGTGCTTGAGAAGTTACCCGTCCATTTCGAGACCACACTTCGTTGTGTGCCGGATTACATTGTCTACTCCGACGTGAAAGAGGAGGTTGACGGAAATCAAATACACGATGTTTTCGAAGGCATCAGCGATGAACTCCGAGCTTCAGTACCAGAGTTTAAGCTCTACGACCACCTCAAGACTCATGGAAGAGAGGGCTTGAAAAACACGACGCATCTCGGAAGCGGACCAGGAGGATCACTAGACAATCCGTCATGGAAACTGGATCGCTTCAAATTCCTACCCATGGTCGACAAAGCACTCAATTACCGTCCAAATGCGAAGTGGTTCGTGTTCATCGAAGCCGACACCTACATGGTCTGGCAGAATGTCCTCCAGTACCTGAGTCACTTCAATGCCGACCAGGCATTGTATATGGGAAAGCACATGTACATCGGCGACACACTATTCGCACACGGCGGATCCGGATTCGTACTCTCCTCCACCGCCATGCGCAAAGTAACAGAACGAAGAAACGCCAATCTCGCCGAGTACGACGCATTCACGAACAAGAGCTGGGCAGGCGACATGGTACTAGCCACAGCCCTACGCGAAGTCAGCGTCCCTCTATTCTGGGCATTCCCCCATTTCCAAGGCGAGCCAGTATCATCACTCGACCACAACGCATCGAAGATAGGTCGAACGCCTTGGTGCTACGCCCCAATCACATACCACCACATGCGCCCAACCGACATCCAATCTCTATGGACCTTCGAGCAAACGCGCCAACAAAACGGCCAAACCCAACTCCTCCACCGCGACGTCTTCAAAGAGTACATACTCCCCCGCCTCTCCGCCAAACTCGACGACTGGGACAACCTATCCATGGACGTAGAGCCCGACGACTCAGGCCCCTTTGAGAAGTGCAAGTTCATCTGCGAATCTAAACCGACATGTCTCCAGTTCTCCTACGCTGCAGGCAAATGCTCTACGTCTACAAGCGTCACGCTGGGTGAGAGTGCAAAGACACGGTGTGTAGAGTATTCTAGCGCAGCGAGCAAGTGCATTCGCTGGCAAGAAGGCACACAATTTGCGGGTTCGATTCAGTCAGGGTGGATGATGGATCGGTTGGAGCAGTACGTGCTGGACATGGATAGTACGTGTAGTGGCACTGAGGGGGAGAGGTGGGTCGCTTGAAAGAGGAGGTTGGCAAGTGCGGAATTCGAGCGAATGTCGCGCTATATCGACTAGTTCATGCAGGGCAAAGAGGACAAAGAGGACGCCGCGCTGGTGCGTGTTAGCCCGGGAGCTACGAGGCTGCACGTGAGGCGGCTTAGGAGGACCGTCTGTTGAGAAAACGAGCCTAGAGCTGCGGAATTACTGTGCTCCGGATGCGAGATGCGGGGAAGCGGTGTTGGTCTCGAACGAGCAAACACCCTTACATCATCATTCTGGAGCTTAGCTCCGTTCCGTGTCACTACTCTACGACCAGGCTGGGCTGATTTGGCGAAGATCGTGTTTGGCGCGGCTGAAGAGTGTTTGCATGCAAGAGCAGAAGAGCATGAGGGAAACATCTGCTCTTGGACGAAGAATGGCAGAGAATTGTGGCGATGTCTTATCCAAAATAGAGGAAAATAAGATCTTGGGCATACACAATTCGATTCTGCAATTCGCAAATGATAGGAATACCTTGGGTACAAGTTATTTGTTACGGCACTTTGTACTTTTCAGTAGGAACAGCATGCACGAAAGAAACCAAGATATTGTTTAACATGTGAATTTCGCTATATACATTACATTTGCCTCTGCTTTAGTAGCAAATAACACCCTACTTCGATGTGTCCAGGACATAGCGTCCAGCAATAGCACCCTTGTTCATCTTGTCATACACCATCTGGAGTTCAGAGAGACCAACCACCTTGTAGGGAGCCTTGATCAAGCCGCGGCGGAAGAACTCAATGGCCTCTGAGCTGTCCTTGCGGTTACCGACGTATGAACCTTGGATTCTGATCATCTTGATGACAGTCTCGAAGACGGGTGCCTTCAGGTAGGCGCCAGCGGGGAGACCAATGCAGATGACGGTACCGCGTGGGCGGACGTACTCGGCGGCTTGCTGGAAGGGCTTCTCGTTGACGGCAACGAGGATGACAACGTGGGGACCAAGACCATCGGGTGTTGCCTTCTGGACGTCGGCGACGAGGTTCTTGCTCGTGGAGAAGTCGACAAAGGCCTCGGCACCTAGCTCTCCAGTGCACATCTTCTTCTTCTCATCGCCAGTGTCGATGGCGATTGTTCGTACACCCATAGCCTTTGCGTACTGGCAAGCAAGCGAACCGAGACCACCACCAGCACCGACGATAGCAGCGAATTGACCAGGCTTGACACCTGACTCCTTCAAGCCCTTGTAGACGGTGATACCGGCACACAGAACTGGAGCAATAGCGGCGAGATCACACTCCTTGGGGATGCGGGCGACGTGGGCAGCCTTGGCGATACAGTATTGCTGGAAGGTACCGTCGACGGTGTAACCAGATAGAAGAGGCTTGGGGCAGAGGGGCTCGTCCGCTTGCTGACAGAAGTCACAGGCCAAGCAGGAACCGTTCAGCCACTTGACACCTTGTGACGAGTTAGTATTGCTCGAAAAGACATGTGTATTCTCATTCGGGAGTATCTCCAGAAGGTATACGCTGGTAGAGGGAACTTACCAGCATAGTCGCCAATCTCTACATCCGTGACGAGGTCACCTCGTGCGACGACGACACCAGCACCCTCGTGACCACCTACGAGAGGCAGCTTGGTGGCCTAGAAATAATTAGAATGTGACATCGGTATCAAGAAGAGAAGTACTCACCAAAGGCCAGTCACCGTTTACAGCGTGAAGGTCAGTGTGGCAAACACCACTGTACTTAATGTTGACCAGAACCTCATCAGGGCCAGGCTGCTGGACGGGAATCTTCTTGTACTCGACGGGTCCGCCGGTCTTGTGGATGACCTGCGCCCATTGCTCCTTGGGAATTTCGGGCATGTTGATGATGTTGAGTGAGTATGATAGGTTGTCGAACGTGAGAGTGTTTTAGTAGTAGATCGAAGATGTGATTGATGGTGGATGTCCTTGAATGTGCAGGACGACGTACGCTTTATATACTTGTCGTTAATGCCGAAAGGATGTCAACGCTTTAACCCCACCTGGAGAGCAACATGTCACTTCGCCAGGGTCCGGATACATTCGCGCCTTCTTACAGGAAGCTACAGGCAATGCGTCCGTTCATCCACGCCAAGCCAGGTCTCCTGCTCAACACGTCGGAGTTGGAAGATCGCTGATGGACCTTGTTCATTGGTCAATCATCTGATAGGTACACATGTACAGTGGAGCTCTGGAGGGGTACACGAGGGAGGATTGGATGATGGCTGGATCATGATGCATCGGCTGGGTGGGAGCGGCCATAGCGCGAGCGCGAAGCATCCGTGGTAAGGCGAAAACTACTGCCGGAAATAGTGTGGTCTGACTCTAGCGCATGTAAATCAGCCCAGGGATTATGGTTCGAGGCAAACCGTCGTTGAGTATGGTGTGAGGGGTGAGTTGGAGCATGGTCGGTTAGGTGGGGTCAGCGCCAGGCTTCTAGCTTCTTTCGACGGAATGTCTCCTGATACTTGTTGCTCAGCACACAACGGCCACGGCCGGTACCGCAAACAATTCAAGGCAAACAATCGTTCTTGTTCAAGTAACAGGTGAACTGAAGGCGCGGATGGCAATGGCACAGTCCTGCCCAGTCTCGGCCACAGTTCGGTTCAATCGCGCCTCGTCTCCATCTGGTCCCTCCACCGCATTACTCGACAGCTCATGTGAGAGCCAAATCCACGTAAGTGTGCATTTGAGTTGATGAAACCTGCCAGCTGGGTCGGTCGAGCGCAAATTCCAAACGCTATTGCCAGATCTTCTGCGTAAGCTCTCCCAGCCACATGTAGCCGTGCATCTACATCTCCCAATTGAGGACCTCGAGAAAGCTAATCGACCAATAAGGGAGTCTTAGCTCTGCCTCTAGACAGCTCCACCACACGCGGCTCCTGTCGTACTATGCGGGGGTTCTGGATGCTAGGAGGCGTGGGAATAGCGCGTCCGCAATCGCGGGGTAGCGGACAGTAGCTTCCTCGCGTCAATCGAAAGCGGCCGGATGTTACGGAGCAAAGGGACGGTTGACGATGGATATCCTGTGAGCTCAGAAACATAGGCTCCGAGCGAGATCTGCGTTGGCTGGGAAAGTGAGGGGCTGGAGATCTAGTGGTAAAAAGCACAGGGGTTCCCAGGTCCGAGAGCGGTGTTTTTCGCTGGGCTGGCTGTGCGGATGACGGGAGGGCGAAGGTTCGGAAACGCTCGCAACGTTGGAGCACAAGGCCCGTCTTATACGTAGCATACATGAGTACCTTCATGACCTCCTGCGAGCTACACGGCCGGTCGCGAAAGGATGACAAGTCCAATATGATGAACGACCAGCCTAATGCGGTCAGCTACGCTACCCATCAAAGACTCGACTCGACCCAGACCATGGGACGACCGTCTGCTAAAGTACCTAACGGCTGGTTACCATAGCGGACGGAAGTACCTCATCTGAACGACAAAACTCAGCGACCTGGATCACATAGACAACCCATCATTTGCTTCAATGTTGAAAATTACAACTTCCACGATGGATAGTTGTAACACTGCCAAATAAAATACATGCACGGAGATGAGGGATGTGAGTTCACAGAATTTGATTGTGGTATCATTAATAGGCCAGAGCTCAAAAGCTCTCTCGTCATCAAGTCATTACATCATAAGGCAAGGGGGCAGATAAGCTTCAGTCGACGACTGATACCCCGTGTTCGTACGTCTCTATTGCACCATCACGTCGACAGCCTCACCATTGCCGTTGGCCGGCCGCTCATCGGCGTCCTGCAAGCCAAGAGGTAGAACGGGAGGGATGTCCTTTTGAGCAGCTCGCGCCTTGGTCTCCGCCCACTGGCGTAGGCGCACCAAACTCCTCATGCGTGACTCTCCATGTGCCCCCATGCTCGTGAGTATTGCCTCGTTGACCTTGCTCGCGACATGCCGACGGAGCGAAGGTTCAAGCAGTTCATTGAGCTCCTTCTGCAGTGTTCCAGGTGTAGCGGGGAGGAAAATGAGCAACGACATAGTAAGCTCGAGATCCTTCAGGAAGTCCGTGTTCGTAGCTGCGCGAGGAGCTAGCTGAGACGACGCGAAGCTGAGAGCAGGTGTGATGTCGGAGGCAGTAGATGATGTGCATGTGCGGATGAGCTCAATAAGCTGCAGACGCAACAGCGCGAAGTGTAGCGATGGATCTGTGTCTAGAATCTGACTCGAAGTTAGCAAAGCCCAGTAAAAGGTATGCGACATGAGTGGATGTGTTTGTTTGCAATCATATTAAGGACTGAAGGTTTGATTATCATCAAAGAGATTCTGCGTGGTGCATGAAACTGGATATAATCCTGCAAGGGGTGGACGAAATGGGACGAGCATGCGTACCTGAGGGTTTAGATCATTGATCTTAGTAATGGCGGTGTCAATGTCGCCAGCATGGATAGACCGTCGTATTTCTACGCGGGACTGTATGGACTCCTCTTCAAGAGGTAGCTGGATGTTGGCTTCCTTGGCGAACTTCTCAGCCGCCCTAGGGTAGCCTTCGCTGACCAGGTAGTCCATGATGACGAAGTTGATGTCCCTGAAGTGCATACGTTAGCTTGTTGATCAAGTGCCAAACAGTGTAGCGCGCAATGCAGCAGCTACTGCGAGATCAGAGATACAAGTTAACATGTTCTCCACACGTTGTTTCGGAGAGATTCCCAACTTATTTTGAAATCATCAAGTGGGGCAGTAGCTGAGGCGGCGCGGACAGGTAGCAACTTACGTCTTGGACGGCTTGATGTCATCAATCTTCCTCTGGAAAGGATGCTGTGTTGGCGTTGCCGCCGACACCGAAACGGTAGATGAGCTCTGCATGATTGTTAGAGGGTGGGAGTTTTGCGACAGCAGATGCGTTGGAGCTTACCATGGTGAAGCGAGGCGCTCAGCAAGCCTCAGCCGACGTCCATCAGTGAATGATAGAGCTGCTCGACCGTTGGTCGAGTGTGCTGGCAGTCACGCAAAGCTTGGTGCGTGATGAGAGAAAGTTTGTGAGTGAAGGTTCGTGGAAGAGAAAGACTGAGCTTGCGAGCTTGGCAACGCTAGTGGGGTGGGTCGTTCTTATGTAAGCGCGAGCCTAAGTAAAGAGCCGCCCGCTGCAGAAACCCGATCGTGCTGGAACCCTGCATACACCCTCGACATTGTTCAGTCTTGCTATGAGAGGTGCGATCTGGTAGAGCATGAGATAGCAGAAACACAGTCTCGCTTGGAAATCCGAAGAAATCACAAACATGGCCTCGGCAGGCCGCAGAACGCACTACGAACCGCCGTGGGGCAACGCGAGCATTATTGGTGTAGCTGGTAGTTCTGGGTCTGGAAAAACTTCTCTGGCACTGGCGATAGTGGCATCTTTGAACTTGCCATGGGTTGTCATCCTGTCTATGGTGCGTACCAGCCTCGCACAGTGGGTCACGTGCTCCAATCAGCTAAGGACCACTGCATGTAGGATTCGTTCTACAAGCCTCTGACGCCAGAGCAATCTGCAGCGGCTTTCCGGAACGAATTCGACTTTGACTCGCCCGACGCTATTGATTTCGACATCCTGGTCGAGCGCTTGAAAGACATCAAGAGCGGCAAAGTAGCTGAAGTGCCCATATACTCTTTCCAAAAGCACGCCCGCCTTTCCAAGACAACCACGATCTACTCGCCACACGTCATAATTCTAGAAGGCATCTTTGCTTTGCATGACCAACGCGTGCTCGACCTCCTGGATCTCAAGATATTTGCGGAGGCCGACGCTGACCTGTGTCTCTCGAGACGTCTCGTACGGGACGTGAAGGAACGCGGACGCGACATCGAAGGATGCATCAAACAATGGTTCGCTTTCGTGAAGCCAAACTTCTACAAATATGTTGCTCCGCAAAGGGAGATTGCCGATCTCATTATTCCAAGAGGTATTGAGAACAAGGTCGCAATCACCATGGTGAGCAACCAGGTTCGACAGACGCTAGAAAGCAAGAGCATACAGCATCAGACGGAGCTGAGACGACTGGGCAAGATCGCGGAAGATAGTCCCTTGAGCGACAATGCTATCGTACTGCAACAGACGAACCAAATCAAGGGAATGCACACCCTATTACTCAACCCGACCACGTCGAGGGAAGACTTTATCTTCTACTTCGATCGGATGGTCGCGCTTTTGGTCGAGAAAGCTGCAGATTTCTTGCCTTTTGAGTCACATAAGATCTCTACGCCCCAGAACTACACGTACCAGGGACTCAAGAAGGTTGCGGAAATCAGTGCAGTAGTAGTCCTACGTGGTGGAAGTGCATTCGAAACGGGCCTTCGAAGAACCATACCAGACTGCAGGACCGGGAGAGTATTGATCCAGACGAACTACAGGACTGGAGAACCGGAGTTGCATTATCGGGCTCTTCCTGAGAACATTGCAGAGCATGGACTGGTCTTAGTCCTAGATCCGCAATTTTCTACAGGTGCAGCGGCATTGATGGCGGTCAGGGTACTGGTTGACCATGGCGTACCGGAAGACAGAGTTGTCTTTGTGACATATACCGCAGGGCGCGTAGGTCTTAACAGGGTGTTGAGCGTGTTTCCGGATATCAAGATTGTGGTCGCAAGGCTGGGTCATGACGAAGAGGCGCGTTGGATCGAAACTAAGTACTTAGGATGCTGAAACAGGTGCGCAAATCACGTATAACGCATGTAACGACGAGAGTGTTGGGATTGCGTACTATCTTCTGTACATGATCGCATTTCACACATGATTGTATATAACCAATATAGTCTTGCCCGAACGCCGTGCCTCGTGCCAACGCCGATAAATGCCAGGTTCGCTCCGAGCCAAGAATGCACCACTGTATACGTTGGGTATCATAGGAAGTACTCCGTCGTGACTTCCTTGCCTTGCTGTTGCTGCTGCTCTGCTCGGTGGACATCGTTGTCGGGGCTCGCATCGAAAACGTTGAAGAAGCGTTCACCGGTATCGCTGACCTCCAATACACTCGCCATGTTACCGCACCGATAGCAGTAGTTCGGTGCGCTCCAGACAGTGCTAAGTCTATCGTCGTAGAGGACCTGATAGCCCTCTTGACATAACTGATGTGCGCGTAGTATATGCGACATGGAGTTGACTTCCAGAAACTTCTTAACAACTTGTGCTCCAAACGTATAACCTGCACCTCTTGGGCTGAGCGAGAATTCGTCTCGCTCGGGATCTGGGTCGCTCCAGACTAGGTCCGCCATGGGCCCCTCGTGAGGTATCTCTCGGAAACGGTCGATGATTTTGATTTGGTCGATGGAGTGTATTGACGGTGAGAGGCCACCGTGTACGCAGAATATCTGGTCATTGATGACGACAGATAGGGTGAGGAAGTCGAACATATCGGTAAAATAGTGCCACACGTTTGCGTTCCCGTACTTCCGCGAGCATTCGGTGTAGAAGCCATAGGACTGAGTGACTCCGCGCGATTCGTGGTTTCCACGTATAAGGTGGACTCGGTGCGGATAGCGAAGCTTCAAGCACACGAGGAGCGATATTGTTTCGACAGAGAAGAGGCCGCGATCGACGTAGTCACCTAGAATGTATTAGCGTCATGAAATGGGGTCGCGTGCGGCATACGGCCAATGGACGAAGACGCACCGAGGAAGAGGTAGTTGGTGTCAGGACACGGCCCGCCAATCTTGAATATCTCCATCATATCGAAGAACTGGCCGTGGATGTCACCCACGACAGTAACGGGCGCTCTGATGTGCACCACATTGCTCTCTTTCATGAGCAGCTCCTTGGTTTTGGCGCATATTGCCTCGACCACCGACTCGGCGAGCAGCTCCTTCTTGGACAGGCGCGATATGCATTCATCGAGGTCTACGGTAGCTGCCACAATGTCAGCACAGCCACCCAGGGAATGCGCAGGCGTCGGCGACTGACGTACACGGTAGGCCGGGCATGGTGGTGTTTGTGGGGTGGGTGTTGGTGTTGGGGCATCCGCGGCGCAGCTCAGGGTATCGAGTCTATACTGGTCGCTAACAGGTGTCTGTATCGTACAATCATCCTCGGGGGCGCATCGAGGGGCGGTATCTGGGCGATGGCGCGAAAGCGAGCGACATGGCAATGGGGGGCAATATGTGCCTGTCGGCCTGAAATGCGGCGGCATCCCGCGCTGGCCCTGGCCCAAGCGCAAAACGTGACCACGCTCCAGATTTCATTTCTACGCGACAACAGTTGGCATGCTTCAATGGAATGGGTGTGCACTCGGCGTCTTCACCTCTCAAGCCTTTCCTCCTGTCGCGTCATTAGATTCTGATGTACCGAGGCCAGTCTCCTGCATCCCTCGCAATCCGCCATCTGCATCCTGCTGTGCTCTCAATAGCAACTTCCAAGGGTTTTCCTCACATCAGCCTGGCTTGTTTCACTTCAGGGCTCTTTCCGTCAACTCAATTCCGTCTTTCCCAACGTCATAGTTCCGCCCCAAGTCATTCAGCCTTCACGCGTTATTAGAGCACCCTAAGTTGAAAGTCCCTCCATGAGCTTGGGCTTCTCTTTCGTCGTCCTGGCTCGTGCGCTCGACCAGACCAAATTTTGAGACGCGCACCTCTCAACTCAAGAACATTTGCCTACACCCAGTCCGACCTACATCACCACTTCCGAAAAATTCATCGACTTCATCTCTTTATATACGACCCCGAGCATCTTACTCCTGACGTGCATCGCAACAGGTAATTCCCATAGTTGGCATGTCGTGGAGCGGGCCTGTAGCAGGTTCGGCGCCTTTCCAGCAGCAACCGTACGCCAATGGTCAGCCATACGGCCAACAGCCGCCCTATCAATATGGACAGCAGCCAGGACAACAACCAGGATACGGACAATATCAGTCAGGAGCTGCGTATCCGCCGGCCGGTCCACCCCACCGTGCTCCTCATGTTCAGTAGGTTTCCTTTATCTCACCACGTACTCGCAGTTCGGCCAGATATTTTGAAAAGAACAACAACATCGAACCTCAACTTTAGATTCCCCAAAGGCCGTTTTCTGACGTATGTGTAGACCTCCAAAGAAGAAGGGAAATCCGATAATTACTCGGTATCCCCCACCCCCGGGCTATCGTGGGCCGGCGCAACCTCAGGGTCCTTTTGGAACCACTCAGTTTCCCAATCAGTACCCACCGCCGCAGCCTACATTCTCACAAGCACCCGCAGTACCTCCAAGTTACCCACAGCAAGGCTATGCTGGTCCCCCTGCGCACCATGGCTATTCTGCTCAGGGTTATAACCAGCCGCCGCCCCAAGCTCCGAATTACCCGCAGGCCGCATATCCGCCGGCGCAAGCTAATTATCAATGGCCACAACCAGGTTATCAACCAAACACAGGGTACTCGCAACCTCCGAATCAACCTCCTGCGCAGCCCTATGCACCACCACAGAGCCACTATCAAGGATATCAGCCTCAGCATGCGGCCGCTAACACCAATCAACAGGCTTATGGGCAGAATTCATCGTGGTCACAGCAGCAGGGGCAAGCATCTTATTCGTCAAACCAATACAGCTCAAGCAACGGATTACCCAACAATACTCATTCCACGCCGGATCCTCACGCCACACCAACTCAGGCGACTGTTCATCTCACTACTGCCCATACCCTTCCATCGTCTAATCAGTCCACTAGTGCTTTGAGTGAGGGGAGTTCAGGCGAGAAGCCGCAACTGTTCCTTGCCTGGGACGACTGGGATTTCGATTTTGATGGTGCTATATGGCCCAAAAGCAATGAACCTGTCGATCCGGCCCTAAGTCTCGGAGTTATCATCTGGCATCCCGCAAAGCAGGTAACTCGTGCATTACCATCAACCTTCGCCGAGGCTGAAGAAGACGCACTCAAACCCACGCCGGAGAAACTGGACAACGGAGATTCAGTGTCAATGTACTTTACGGCCGACAATTCGCACGAGGCTTTCTTGAATGTTAGGCAGACAGACGAATGGGAGACACTCCAAGATGACCCCGTCTTCGTCGTATTTACAGACGAGGACATGACATCCAATCTGGTCTCGCTAGAGGATTGTATTGCTCAACGAGATCGTCCGGACGAATTATACGAGGAGGTACAACAGGATGAGGATCTGGAGATGCGCGACGCTACGTGGGACATTATGGATAACCTTGAGCAGGCACTCGCTACTAACAGTGGATCCACAAAACCTGCCACCACGGAGTCTGAGACAGCACCTCCTCAACAGCTAAGCCAAGAAGACATCCTGGCTAAGCTGGGCGTGACCGGGACTCCAAAGCCACCATCCGATGAGCAGATTTCACTACCATTATCTGCTTCTGATGCGAAGCCCCCATCTTCACTTCCTGGCAAGCCATCATTACCTTCTGCCTCCACAAAGACTGCAGAGCCTGCTCTTCCGCCTCAACGAGCGCAATCGTACGGAGGGCATCGCAACAACACACATGGACCTCCGCTGCCTCGGCCGTACGGCTCCATGTCGTCTTCCACCGCCTCCAGGCCCCCGCCCCCACCTCCACCCCCGGAACAACAACGCTATGATCCTTGGAATGCGCCTCAGCGTAGTGGTCATGGTCTCGATGGCTCCAGGGGCAGTCCGGCGCTCTCCGAAGGAAGCAACCACACTATGGCTGGCTCTGATTTCGAACCCGAAAACCCTAGCAGCGAGATACGACAGGATGTGCCAAGTGCAACCTCACTCGACCGAGGTGATAGCTCTTTCTCTCGGAAGAGAAGCTATGAGGATGCGGACCACGAGCACGAGCGCTTGCGGCAGCAAGAAGACTACAGCAAGCGAAAGCGGCGTTCTCAAGTTGATGCCGCGTATAGGTAAGACCTGTCAATTTCTTTAACGCTCTCCAATTCTCGTGCAGTATCTTACTAGTCACAGTCGACGTTGAACGTCACGTCAGTATGTCAGCACGCTCACTGCAATGCTTTCTTCGAATTTCAGCCCGAGCCGTCAACTCTTGTGACTGCCGTGTCATTCGTCACCAACACCTCCCGCCAGCGTCTTGACCTTGAACAATGGTCTGTCTAAGATACAGGATCATCTATCTTATCCAGTATGTTTATCATGCTGGATGGTGCCCTACATTTTCATTCACTGTTTTGTTTCTACATCCTCACGTCCAGAGGGGTTGACGACTGCGATCCCATTTCTGTCTAAAGAATGCTTTGATGAGTCTGTTCAGAAGGGGAGGCTTATGGGTATGGTGTCATTCAGCGTTTGATGATCATTTCACTGGACACATGATGTCCTTTTCTCTTCACTGTCTGTTCCAGACGTTCTATCATCTTGTCATTTTCACCACCATTTATATTAATCTCATTCGATCTTCCCAGTTGTCGCGTCAAATTCTGTCGATGTCATCCTTCTATCTGTTCACCTACCACCATGTTTGATCCCTATTATTCATATCAAGTTTCTAGTGTTTGGGCCCATATTTTGCTCGGGGGTTGCGATACATGTTTTGTCCGTATAATCCAGCAAGCTTGCACAATCGTATGTGCAGTAAGTACACGTTTGCATCCAGGGTGTGCGTTGCTAGCTTCTTCAAGTCAAACGGCACCAGCCACAGGAAATGCATTTTACTATGGCGCTCGGGTAGTCAGCTGCAAGCTATGTTCTACCTTCCAGCGAGGGCTGTGATCTTCAAGATCTGTGATCCATGGTGTGTAGCAGGATCTACAGGCTAAGCCAAATATGCTAATCTCATGCGCTGGGTATGACAGCTCTTCTATGTGTGACCCAACCTGCGTATGACGCAAAGGGTTTCCAAGGTTGTTCTGTTTGGGACATGAAAATATACATAGCAGATTCGAGAATTACAATGGATTATGTGCAACGTTCGGTGGCCTTGGATATCTGATAAGTGATATATGAATCTGCTGTGAGGCAGGCAATTAATTTCAAGAGCTTGCCACTCGATAAGAACAATCTGGGAAAGAAAGATCGGCCTGGAAAGACATCGAATGGCAGAAGCGGCGCTCCATCTTGACTGGCGCTTGTGTGGCGGCGATGGTTCTCGTATATCGTATTCCAGATACCTCGGCGAACGCACAGCCACACACAGCCACAATGTGCGTCATCAGGTCAAGCGACTGCAGGTACCTCTCACTCAGGTGACACCCCAACGCCAGCACAACCACCGCGACATTGTTCCTACAGCTATCTCGACCCAACCCACAACTCTACATCGCGAACCACTCTCATCATGTGCGGCTCCGACTGCTTTCTGATGCTTCTTAGCGTACTGGTACGTCTACGCCCCCGGAGCTGCAGCAGGCACCAGCCATCTCTCTGCGACCCACCGCCTTCAAGTACTGACACGTCAACTAGTTCCCACCTGTGGGGGTATGGGTAAAGAAAGGCCTCTGTAGTGCCGACTCTCTCATCAACCTCGCGCTCTGCTGTCTCGGTTTCCTGCCAGGCCTCCTACACGCCTGGTACGTGATCCTCCAAAACCCCGATCCGTACGACGCATACCAGCAAGTGCCCGACCGCGAACGCGGCGCAAATAGCAACGGCGGAACCACATACTATGTTATTACCCACGAGCAGCCGGCTGGACGACAGGCGAACTACGGCACCGTAGGCAGCCAGCCAAGCAACGGACAGTTTCCTGGACAGCAGAGTGGCGTGACAAACAGCTTTGCGCAACCAAAGGGAAGCAAGGCCGCGAAGGGCTCTTCAGCTCCGAATGCTTCAGCACCGCAAGGCGGCGAGGGTAGTTCGAGTCAGCCTGAAGGGCCACCACCGACCTATGCAGATGTGATCAAGGGCGACAACAAGGTCCAGGGCCCATAAACTGATAGTCTTGGGCGTTTATGTCTCAAGAGGAGGGACATGTAGAACAGTATAATACGTGTTAAGCGGCGCACAGGAGTGCTTGGACTGACAATAGGGCGTTCATGATACTGGATATGGATAACTCATGCGGGAAAGGAGTAATCAATGTAGACATTACAAAGGTTCAATAACGTTGTTACACCTTCCATTTGCACCCATACTACATGCGACTAGCTTCCTGATCATGTACGTTGTGAGGATCCAGCCTGTACGTCATCGGCCGGGCTGCATACTGTGGCTGCATGAGTAACGGCAGACGTACAGATGCTAGATTGCGAACCGTGTCTTACTATCATACTGAGCGCTGTATCTATGAGCAATCTCGAACTCGAGTTTGCGCGCACGAATCAGGTTGTTGCGGCGTGCCGCCACCCACGTCGCTGCGGCATGCCTTCGGCGGGTGCGCACCAATGCTGTGAGGACGGCCCCGGCATTTCTTTTGCTTTGTGCCCGCCGACATCCATGGCCGTTGCGCAACTTGCCTAGTTGGGTAACAGACATGAGAAAAAGCAAGAATTGCTCGATCGTGTTGAAGCGAGTGACAGGATGAATTTTCCCTCGTGCGCGATGTCCAGTCGAGGGTGGGCGCGCCATGATGGCGCCATCGTTGTGCCATCATCACTCCAGCCGTGCAACTGGGGTAAGGACACATGCACGCGCAGATCACCAGGTCAGATGCGATGCACGGCTAAGATTACTATCATATCGCATACATGTAAATGCATGATTAAGCGACCGCTATTCCAGATCTCTGTCCGCATACGTCTTGCTGCGAATGTAAGCTTTGATGCTTGTCGTGCATATCAAGATTATTCGCGGTTTTCCAGTCGCATTCGGATGCAGGCAGACGCATAACAAGCGTCTGGAGCTTACGGTGTACAGCATACGTGGTAAAACATACTGGGTGCAGCCTGCGACGCCGGCCAAACAGCCATGGGGGAAAGCAAGGAAACTTCAACAACACCAGCAGTTTCCCCAGATCAAGTATCGTGATGCTTTGCTAGTGCGCAAGCTGGCATGCAGGGTCGACCAGTTAAGCGTTTCCAAGTCTAGCCGCGTCGTCATGCCCAGACCGCCTCTGCGCCCCGATGCTAGCCCAAGCCCCCAGCCAAGTGCCTCGAGTGAATCTTGGTTCTCCGTTACAAGGCTTGACTATCATGACGTGAAGCTTCGCACATCTGTCTTCCGAGAGGCAATCACGTAGACTCCGAACGCAGTGATTTGCGTTTGCACACGCGCGCTACTGTCAACACAGCCTTTTGACAATCCCGTTAGCTCCTATTTGCCCCCGTCAACTGTGGCTGAGGCGTTTCTCATTCGTGCATTCACACAACAGCCACAACTATACTCGTCAGTGTTCGACTCGTCAGTGCGCTGGCCTCCTGTCAACACTGGTTTAATTACCCTTGGCCCCTTCCTCCCTTTCTCCATTCACTCACCGGTCCTTTGTTCTCAGGGCAACCCTCCAACGACAAATCTCCGACACAGATTGCACGCGTACCTGCGTCTGTCTCTCCCCGGTTGCATCAGGCACACTTTTTCGCGCGCTTGTTGGTCCAGACAATTATTCGCCTCCATTTCATCCGTTTCGGCCCCCAGCCACCCGTTCCGAATCACAACCAACTCGTTCCGAGTACTCACTTGGCACATCGAGCTGCAGGTCGCACTTCTTGAGCGCGACTCTCAACTGGACCATATCCACCACTAAGTGCAAGAAGACGGCACAGCTGCCGCGAAAGTAGATCAATGCGTAAGTGGATCCACATCTCCGAGAATCGAGATCGCGATAGGTCTCGATTATCCCTCGACCCGACTTCTTCTGCCAAACACCAAAACACATCTAATAATGAATCTAGATACCGTACGAAGGCAGGCACATCGCGTCGCGTCGCAACATGGCGGCAACGGCGCCGCGAATTACAACCCATTCGCCCGACAACGTTCTCGAGACGTTAACCTGGACGAAGAGAACGCAGTACACAGGACACGATCGGAAACCCATGCTACACCCGCCATCGAGGAGCAAAGACGGCTAGAGAGCATGCAAGCAGGCAAGGAGTTCGGTATGCCCGGCCACCACAACACCGAACCATCTACATCGTCTCCAACATACGGAAGCGCTTCTACGACTATCCCGGAGTCAACAGAGGAGAAGGATCTGATGTCCGAAACGAATGGCGCGCACAAGGCTTCCGGCGACAGCAACATTGCGCCTTCCAACCAGGAGGCTAATGTTGGCCCCACTCGACGTGCCAAATTCAAGGGCATCTTCCGCAAAGACCACGATGCACCAGATGTTGAGGCAGAGGATCCGGAAGACGACGACCTTTCGCTAGAGGAACGTAAGAGGAAGGCTCACAAGAGGAAGATTCCGGTCGGCAAACAGATCCGCTTCGTTCTTTTCGGTGCTTGGATCAATGTTCTCCTCATCTTTGTGCCCATCGGGTTCGCTGTTAGATACGCCCACCTGAAACCCGTCCCGGTCTTCGTCATCAACTTCATCGCCATCATCCCGCTCGCAGCCATGCTGAGCAATGCGACTGAAGAACTGGCCATCCGTGTTGGCGAGACTCTTGGTGGGCTGTTGAACGCTACCTTTGGCAACGCCGTCGAACTGATCGTGTCCATCCAAGCCCTGCTTAAAGACGAGATCACCATCGTCAAAACTTCACTTATTGGCAGCATGTTGTCGAATCTGCTATTGGTACTGGGTATGTCCTTCTTCCTGGGAGGCATCAACCGCCTGGAACAGTTCTTCAACGTCACGGTTGCACAAACGGCGGCATCGTTGCTTGCTCTTTGTGTCGCATCGCTTATCATTCCGACTGTTTTCCACAACACCATCGCCGAGGACGACAACACCGCGAACAATGGTGCTGCCGATGCTGTCAGGAACCAGGAGTTGTCACATGGCACGGCTGTTATCCTTCTCCTGGTCTACGCTTGCTATCTTGCCTTCCAGCTGAAGACTCACGCTACTA